GCTGCACCAGTTTCCATTTCTTGGCTGCTTGGAGAACTCCGCTAACGGTGAACACGTCCTCTCCCTAACCGGCCTAAACCCATTCCAAACTCCACAGGTTTTCACCCGTTTTCACCTGTGTTCACACGAACGGGGCCGCAGGGCCGTCCTCTCAGCAAGGACCTGCCAAGTTCGGCGCAGAAAAAGACCCCCCCGCCATCGTTCCACCGGTGCTTGCGTTCCACTGGCGCACGGCCTTTGGCATTCGTAAACAATGGAATTCCATGAGGTTTGGTGATTTTTTTTGGGGGGGGGGAGCAGACATGGATGGTGTTTGATCCACAGACGGCTCAGACCAAAAAGGTGGCTCAGACATGGTGACAAGGCAAAAAGGCTCAGTCTTGCAAAGCTTTCATACATGCCTTCACGAGCGAAGGCAGTGTTCGAGTGCGAGTGTTTTCAAACAGATTCAATCCATTTGCAGCCCCACCATGAGTTGATCCCCCATGCCTACATGAGGATCGTTTTCAGGTGTTTTGTTTTGTCATGTTTTGCCTACATGGATAAGGTGCTGGGACCTTACAACGTAAGTCCTCAGTCCTCAGTGGACCATGGCCCATGGGACCTGACAGGACCATGGACCGACAAGGGTACTGTAGGTAGATAATCCACACATGGATTGTTAGGGGAAAGCTATGTCGGGTACCCGAAGCTGGGCCATATTCCCCACAGAGACCTTCTGTGAATAGGCTCGTGCCCACATGGCTCGCTCGTGCCGTGGAACCCTGCTGACAAACTTAGAATGTTTGAAGGCTCAGTTTGATAGCCAGCATCCAGGAGGTGTTGGAGAATTTGAACAAACCGCGCTGAAGATGTGCACAAACTGTCTTCTTGTACATAGGTCACGGATCGCTACCATGACAAACATCTCTCTTTCTTTCCCTGACCCAATCCAACTTTTAGCTTGCTTTGTTCAAGTCTACCCTTTGGGCGGAAGTGACATGGAAGGTCAGTGCTTAACCAGATAGACTTGAATCTGTTTTTTTTGGGGGGGTTGTTTTGGAGCAAGAGCAGGTATTGCGGGAAGCTGTGATAAGTGTTAGACCGTTAGACCTGGTTCTCTCTTCAACGGCACGATAAGTCTTAGGTGGATGCCCAGATGCCATGCGTGTACTCGTTCAGTGCTTGGGTGTTACCAGACTGAATCCTGTGGATACCTATTTCGATGTTGCCACCATTTGTTGAAGGTAAATTGACTCACCTGAAATGCAGTTCTTTGGTGTGAATGACTGCAACCGTAAAACTCCGTACTGGCATCACCATGTGAACTTGCAACATCAATTTGCACCTACTCCCCGAAACGAACCACGTGTCGGACGGTCAAGACGGTCGATGTCGGAGATCCGTATAAGACTGGATCGGTAACAGTATAACCGTAAAACAGACACCGGAGATCCAGTGTTATATATAATTACGTGACATGTTTTTTTCACCGGACAAACCTGCGCTGCTGTGTCATAATAGATGGTTTTCTTCGTCCAACAATCTGGCGCAGCAGTAGGGCGCAGCACATTTCTTTTCCCCGACACCCAAATTCTTCACCCCCAGACTGTGCTCCCCAGTCACAAAAAGGGTGCAACGGGTGGTCGTGTTCGTACGACAGATAGGTCGTGTGGGTGGTCCCACACATTTTGCAGTGGGTCAAAACCTCCCTACAAACCATGGAGGGTTGACATCCCTTGAGGGTTGACATCATGAAGAATCTGTGCATTTTTGTCTGTGGTGGAAAAAACCAAGGGAAAACCCCTCTACCACTGCCATGTTAGTATGGGGCTTGATGGGGCTTGTCTCAACAGAAGTCCGCGTCGGCTTAATTCTGCGCGACAAAGAACCCATGCCTATATAGATTTAGCAGTATATATATATATATACCCGTACCCTATGCGTCCATTTGACCCCTGTTTTGATAGGAAGTATTCCCAAAAGCATCTCCGATGCTTGGGTTCTCGTTTAGTCGCTAGTGCCGGGGGAGAGCGAGGAAAAGCTTACGTTGTCGGGGACGAAAGATGGAGGTGGAGGTGGACGGGGTTGGGAAGGGAAGAGGGAAGGGAAGGAAGAGGGAGGGGAAGGAAGGGAGGGGAAGGAAGGGAGGGGAAGGAAGGGAGGGGAGCGAGACGGGAGGCGCACGGGTGGGGACGGGGTTGGGGAGGGAACAGATGGAGGGGAGCGAGACGGCAGGGGCAGGGGTGGGGACGAGAAGATGGAGGGGAGCGAGACGAAAGGTGCATCGATGGGGACGGGGCTGGGGGAGGGAAGCGCAGGGGTGGGGACGGGGTTGGGGAGGGAATAGATGGAGGGGAGCGAGACGGGAGGGGCATGGGGGGGGACGGGAAGATGGAGGGGAGCGAGACCCAGAACCCGGAACCGAGTTCCCGGTTGCAAGTGAGGCGCAACATGATGGCCGAAGGACAGGTGACGATGAAGGTGACAGTGGACAGGTGGACTGGAAACCAAATGGCTGCAATAAAAGTGAAGTTCTGAAACAAATGAATTTAGAGCCTCAGGCATATATATATATATACACATGGACATATACATCCCACATCCCCTCATCCCAAAAATGCCTCATCCCACATCCCACATCAAAGTTGTTGTAGAAGTATCACGCGCAGTATCCCACAAATGTTAGGCCTCCATCGCAGATGCCAAGACGGGTCAAACCTCAAACACCTGAGCAATGACATGCAACAGTCTTTGTAAGATAGATATTACCTTAATATCTTAACCTTTGACTAGTGCAATCTATAGTTCATGAAGACTTGCACCTGTTATCCCGCAACCTCTAAGCCTTACTTTGTGACTCTTTGCAACAGTAACTCTGAGAAGCTGGCAGAGGATGTCAAAGATCTTCAAAGTGCGCCCGCCCTACTACCCGCCCCAGCCCGCAAGAAACAACATCGGAAAAGCAATCAGAGATTGATCTGACATTCTGCATCTGACATCTTTGATACCATCTGACATCTTCGACATCCACACCTGGATGGAAAACAAATCAGGAAAACAGAGTAGAACAATCCTCAAATTTTTTTGCACTGTAAAGTAAACAATCTGATCTAACTCTAAGAGGTGAATTTTAGAGGTACAGTCTTATATCCCACATGATGTGTGTTTTTTTTCATCTAAAAGTTCAAATAAAAAATTGCAGAGTTGAACATTGCAAGTTCCTAGACTAAATGCCTTCCTTTCCAGTCTTGCAGGCACAGCTAATGTGGGCTCAAATGTAATGGACAAGTCTAAGTACTGGCTTGTGAACACTGTTTGCCAAATTCCAAAAAATATGTATATGTGTTGCACTACATTATGGACAAGTAAAGACAGCAGCTAGTTGGAGAGTCAACACACGTTGCTGATGGTGGTGAATCGGCTGATAGTTGCTGAATAAGACAGTTGAGAAACATATTTGTCCCACTCCAACTCTGAAGTTTCATGATGCTCCAGATTGACATCTCGAAATTCCACATTAACTATACTTCGAGTGATCCCAGCCCTGAAAGTTAAGGTGATTGGCAAGGGTTGACATAATGTTCTGACACTTGTTCTGGCATCAAATCTGGTTTGTGCTCTGACACATGTATCTATCATTGTGTTCTGACAACGTTGGTGGGGCAATCTGTCCTGTCTGATGTCCCTGTTTCTCAATTATGCCAGAAGATATGTACCACACACACAAAGACCCAAATGCTATGAAAGTTTTGAATACCTTGGTGATGGCTTCAGAACCGCGATGCTTGAAGTATCATAGTTGCCACGAAGCCTGGAGGGGGCTGATGCTTCGTTTTGGCCTGCTAATTTGTTTTTGTTCATTTTTCCTGGGTTGTGCGCTTCTTTTTGCTTTTGGGTCCGCGGGCTCACCTTGTTTTTTGTATATGTTTGATTATTTTTATATATGAGGTCACTCTGGTTCTAGGTCACTGCTGTAATGCTACCATGCTACAAAAAACATTGGTTCGCTTGCAGCAAATTCGATGACATGAGGAATCTTGAACAGATTGAATAAAAGGTGCTATTTAGAGACGTCTTTCATTCTCTTCTTCATTCACATTCAGACTGAAAAAAGCGATCCCTTCGCCTGCGAAAGCCCCCGAGACTCCGCGAAACCCCCAGACTCCGCCCGCGGAAAAAGGCTCGCTGCCGGTGATCGGTCGATCCGTCGGGCAACGGTGTCCGAATTGAGGGGCTGTTAATCAGAATGGGAGACCGAGCGACCCCAAACAGGTTTCTTAGGCTTCAGTGGATTTGGGTGATTTGGGGTGTCCAACTGGTAGATCCGAAAAGAGAGGATCTATACTTATCCATCCGGGGGTTCTGACCAATACAACTGAAAACGCTTGTTCAAGCAGATTCAGCAAAAGGCAGTTTTGATTGTTTTGGACGAACTTGCTTTAGAGTGTCGGTGTTCTACCTCCCAGTTTGATGATCATTCTTGACTGGGCAGCGTCAGGCAGCATTGTTCTCCTCCCATGCAGACTGGATAATTACCTGGGGTTTCCTCCCGAACGCAAACATGATGCACTCATATGCACTCCAGACAATCCATATATGTGGAACATTTGCCTACATTAGGATGGTTATAAGGACATGTAGGGATGTCGGGAGAGTGGCTCAAACCCAGTGAGAAAGGCAAACAAACACAACTTAGAATAGAATTACTGCTAACTACTTCTACTGGAGAAAGTCGCATCCACCAGTGGTGAGTATTGAAAATAGCTGCGTGGGCTTATTGGGGGGATCAAATGCCTAGATTTTGAGGGACCAACGGTTGTAATTTGGAATCCATGTGGCCCCTGGGAAGGCAGGATCAAACTACCTTGATTGGAATGTCTCTAGAAATTGTTAACAATGGACAAGCCTGCTATGTTCAACAACGTGATTGCGCAAGCAGTTTCTTGATTAAGCCCAGCCTGTGACCTTCCTTTTGTAGGACCTCTGTGTGCAAAAGAGCTTGGCTAGTTCAATGCCAGTCGCAGCATGTCGCAGCCAAGGTCGTTGTAGTCATGGGACGGGGCTTTCTGCGTTTCACATGTTTTCCGGACGGGACTCATGAACACCCATGCAAATGGCCTTCAAAGACACTGGCCATGGTGGCTGCGGCCATGTGCAACACCTCCAGCTTGGCCAAGCTCACCCTGATCATCCACTGCCGACAGGAGCCGACGATTTGCCGAGCTCGGCTGCCTCTTCTCTTGGACTCTTTGGAAGTGATCAGGTCAGTGAGAGGTTCATGTTTAATCCCATTTGGGCTCCAAGCCCCCAGATCCTCAGAAGGTTGGGACATGGCACCCACCCACCATAAAACCACTGAACGTTTTCGGATGTGGGGGGTTGGAGCCCTGGGGAATGTTGATGAAAGGGCTGGAAATGGAAGCGCTGTTTGGGATTCTACACCACAAAAATGCCAGCCATGACTTGCTCCTTCTCATTAGAACTTCCGTCGCTGTGCCTTCTAATTTGACTGTCGTTTCGGACCCAAATGTTTGGGACCCAACAAACGAAGCCAAAGTAAACTGAGGAATTCTCGGTTTACTTCAAGAAGACGGTGATCTTACTGAACAAAGATCCTGGCTGGTTGCCGGGAGCCCTGCATTGCGAGATGGCTGGAGATCCCTACTTCTGCGTCGCGGAAGAGATTCCTCGCTCTCACGATTCCGATGGACTCCCGATTCCGTTGGGATGAACAAACGCGCGAGAAGGTTGTTGTTCATCCCTATAGCCTATAATTATGTCATATACCCATAGGGTCCAGGTACCTGCTGAGGATGGTCTTGGAGGTGAGTTCATACTTCCACAGAATGGTCTTTGGGGCCAAGGACATCCTCAGGATGGTCCTGGACCCTTAGGGTATATAATAGTGTGTATATATATAATACCCAGATTCATCGAGGAATCATCCTTCGAAGTAAACAACGTCAGCAAAGTCGCGGAGTGTGAAAAAAGAGCTCCGCTATACATCGATGTTTTGTGAACTATATACGATATTAACTCTATTTCTTTGGGTCCTTGGGCTGGTCAAACAAATCCCAAGGAATTCTCTACATGCAGTTTGATGTGGCGATGTCTCCCTGTGAGATGGCTCAACGTTTGGATGTGACCGCGATGGGAACCTTTGAGGATCTTGAAGACAAGTACATCACATATGCCCGACTGGACGAATGTAACACCGTTTTGGCGGATGTGTGTGGCTGGCCTTGGTGGAACATGGCGAACGACAATAGCAAGAAGAACCTTCTGAACACCGCCAAGGCTCTGGCTGAGATCAGAAGCAAGCGTGAAATTGACAACGCATCCATTCTTCAAAAGCTTGAAACTGGGGTTTGGCGTGGTGTGTCCGACTTTTTCTACGTGCCCAAGCAAGCGTTTGGCCCCTTTGCAACCTTTGTTTCTTGGTCCAATCAAGTGCACACTGAAGCGCGGCACACTGAAGCGCAGTTGCTGGTGTTTTGGGAGGTAGTTTGGAGGCATAGAACCACTGTCCTTAAGTTCAGGCTTTCAGGTGGTTGCTATGTCTACAAATAAAGTCACAGAAGGCAGTGCAGTCTTCCTAAACAAGAACAATCCCAAGCACCCAACCTAGGCCCTCCCAAGCACATCCTGTCTTGGCTTCAAATATCAAAGGACATCTTTGGGTGGCCTTCAGAGCATTGAATTGTAGATCTCATTTGTATTAAACTATATTAAACTGATTTTTGTTTATTTTTCTCATGGTTGCTTTCCACCAAGTCTTGAGATGCAAGCTCACCACCTCCAGGACTTGTGTTTCTTGACATCTCTTGGTCTCCAAGCTCACCAGTCTCAAACATATGGGCCATATGGGGGTGTATTGAAATAGAGAGGACAGGACCCTCAAACATCCTTTTGAAGAGGAACTACATTAAAGCCCAGCGGTTGGAGAGGCTCTCCTTACATAGGTCCTTTCTCATTGACCTTTTGTTTTTTTGACCTCACCATCTCAACCTATCTCAACATATTTCAACCGTCCAACACAATCTCAAAGCCAATCTCTCGTGCGACTGCCAGATTTTTTGTTCTGGCATCTCGCACGATCTGAGGCCAAACCCTTCAAAGACAACAACGTGTTCAACGAATTGGGCTCTCCAAGCGTGCTGATGACCTCTGCTGAAGTGTCGGGAGTCTCTCTGCAAAACTTTGGCTGCCATGGCAATTGTTGCGCAGCTGTGGGGAAGCAGGAGATTTTGTCCGAAGGTCACTTGGAGGTTGTTGATGGAGTGAGTAGAGAGGAGGATACTGAGGATGAGGCGAGAAGTTCGATTTTCTTCTGTCAGCCTGGGAAGCATCAATCTTGAAGCTCATGACGTCTTGGAGCTCATTGTCCTTTCATTTTTTGGGGGTAGGCCGTAGAGGTAGCTAGTAGTAGCTAGAGGTAGCTAGTAAGGTTGAAGCTACAGGATAGCTCACTTCTTCAAGGAAATTCCCCCTTCCTTGAAGAAGCGCTTGCACTATTCTTTGGTTTCTAGATGTTTAAGGAAAATTAAGGTTGGAGGCCATCGCTATTAGGTGTAGCGAGCTGGAAGAGATGGTCGGGACATGTATGAAAGTAGATGAAGACCTTGGAAAGACCTCGGAAAAATGTGTTTTGAGTGTTTTGGGGTGTTGCTGCAGTTGTTACTCTTGAAAATCGAGGGGTCGTTGCCTGGGAAGTCTCTCTCTGAAAATAAACGCGCCCCCAGAATAGGAGCACATAGGCCAGGCAACAGTTCTGGCCTCTGCTCCAGAAAGACTCCATTCTGGGGTTCAATTGGGTCTAGTGCAGGATCTGGATCAGGTCAGGGTCCCGGCATTTGTGGAGAGGTTCAGAAGAGGAATTTCAGGGCACAAATATTGACAGCTGTTGTTCCAATGAGCATACAGCCTACGTATTTGTTTTCCTCCTTTTTGGTTCAAAGGACATTTCTTTGATTTGACAATCCCACAGCTGAAAACTGAGGTTTTCTTTGTGGACACAAGGTGCGGAGGACGCAGGACGCTTCAATCTGATGAAAACCAACGAGAGCGAAGTTTCAAGATGTTTTACCCTTATCCTTTTTGAAGAAAAAGGCAGACTCAGACATAGTCAACAAATTGTAAATTTATATAAATTGACTGGCGGATACGCTGCATGAAGCACATCCACTTGGAGGAGGAGTCCAATCCAGAATGGAAGGACACAGATAGGAATTATTTTCAATTTTGTTGGGGGAAATCCGTTTTGTTCCTGTCCCTTTGGCTTCTGTTGGCTACTTTTGTTGGCCTTAATTTGCTATTATAGCTGTTGCCTTTGCTGGCTTTCGTTGACTTACTGTAATGTGGGCATATGGCTTGTGCTGGCTTCTGTTGTTCTCTGTTTTTTTTTCTTCGGTGTTCTCGGCAGAGCAATTCCGAAACGTTGGGTTGTAGCTGTAAAACCAAGGAGACCGGCTGGAGACTGGCTGTAACACAGCCAAGGCTGAGTTCCGATATCAATCAGTGGAACAAAGGCTCAGTTCTGGCTAGGCTCCTAGACGAAAGAACATCCTGCTGTGTTTCATGCCCCTCTGCATACATCTTTTTGTAAGTCTTGATCAACATGCATTCCATTCTCCCGACCCACTACTGTGAGCCCGAAACCTACCTTCGCCCACATGGCTTGTTGCACGACCCCAACTGGCGGGTCAGAGCGAGAATTCGCCGTCTCGTGGGCCGCGGCCACCGTACACAACACCCTGCCTGCTCGATCCCTGCGAGCAGAGCAGGAGGCAACCCAGGAGTTCGAGTCAAACCACGCTTGGCCCCAAACCCAGACACTCCATGCCATACGTACATTGGGTTGTTTTGGAGGTCAATGGGGCGGCAGTCCTATGGCAGTCCCAGACTCGTCGTGTCTGGGATTCATGTTCTTCGGCATCGGATGGCGGATGTGTCTCGTGCCAGGTGGACTATCAACGTCCTTGTAATCGCTTGGCCGTGCAGCTCTTGGCAGCACAAGGAAGACCTCACCCCGGGCCGCAAGCACTGCACACGGTCGCTTGGGCCGTTTGGGTGGGTGGCACCGTTGGGAAGACATCACCCGAGTCAACTCACACAGACCCGGATAGACCCTGACTGGCTGGCCTTGTGGGTCCGAGTGTAGGCTCCTCTAGCAACCAGTGGTGGTTTTCAGGGTCCATGTTAGTCGTCTTCCAGGGTGTAGTGGGTCGAAGTGTAATCCCTATGAATCCAAACACGCGCTATTTTGATTCGAGCGCACAGACTGTAAACAGCAAGCACGCCAAAGACGGTAAATAGTCGGTCACACCCCTTCATTCAACCCAACTTGCTTTTGTTCAACAAAACGCCTGTTCAAAGGTTCAACAAAACCAATTTCACACCGCGATTGCCGTATTTGCATACTTGCAGGCAACATTCACGTGCTTGGATTTTCAACTGGGCACGGACGACGCATGCTGATGCCTGCCAAAGTGTGCACTGAGGCTGTTCCAATGCACCTTTCCCTGTCGACGATGTTCCATTTACCTTTTTCAGTATGTGAAAATAGATATGTCTTACCAAACATGTAAATACGCACTGCATGATTGGCCAAGTAAATGAATCGTACATATAATACTATAATTCCCAAACGCTCCATGTATGGAGTATATGCCTGCATTGACTCCTGAAAACCACCCCAATGTATGTAAAATTATATAAACACTCCATACATGGAGGGTGTGGGAATTGGATTGTCAGGGAATGCAATCTTTTTCTGGTACAGCACTTCGAAGCACCCCTCGGCACTAGGACCACTTTTATAGCGAATATGTTCACTCAGAGTGTTCAAAAAGTATCAAAAAGTGTTTGGCCCACAAAAAGAAATAAACAGGTAACCTGGTTGTGTAGTCACTCTACCTGGTTGTGTAGCCTCAAGAGAGGAGGCAGTACGGTTCCGAGACCCACATGGAACCTCAAGCCCACGTCGGCTTGTAGAGGAAAATCGTCGTTCAAAGGTCCATGCCATCAGGTTCGATGTCAAGTTCCAACAGTATTTTTTTCATCATAGCACTCCTGCCCTCTTCCATTTGCGAGGAATTTCTTCGGTGGAATATATTCCTCGATCTGCTAAGGTCAATGCGAATGTGCCACCGGAGTTTGCTCCCCCATGCGAGATGGCGAACCTGATGAATGTGACACTGATCATTCACTGCACTCAGCTTTGCCACGAGAGGCAGTTTTTGCTGCAAGAATACTTCCACTATTTCCAGCATGCGGCTGAGCTGCGAGACACCCTGTGGCATTCTGAACCGGGCTGCCCTCAAAATGGAAGGTTTAGGACCACCAAAAGGATAGTTGGGGTCTGTCCCATTACCAGTAACAGTCGGCAAACAATTATCACTATATGTTTTTTTAGAATTTATTTTCAAACAAGGCCTCTACTAGCCATCATGATCCACCGTTAGCGGTAGTGGGATATACCCGATGGATAGTTTTGTTTTGTATGTACAATGTTCCCTCCTGTAAATTGTTGCTGTTCTCCTTTTGTGGTAAGTTTGTTTTTCAGTTTTGGGAGTTTCCTCCTTGATTGAAATCATTGTAGTGTGTCCTCACCATTGAACAGCATGTGGGGGCTTTAGGTGATCTTATTGACGAGAGAAGACCTTCCGTTTTTGACAGCGCGCACGTGTGCTGCTGAAGTTTACTGGTGCGTGGCGGAAGAGATCGCAAAGTCTGCGAATTCCAAGGGAATCATGTTCTTGCACTTTGATGTTGCCATGTCTCCTTGTGAGATAACCAGGCGTTTGGACGCGGCAAAGGTCGGCACCTTTGAGGAACTCACAAATATCACCGCTGCTAAGTTGGATGAATGCAATCGCAAGAAGCTGAATTGCCAGTGGCAGCACTGGAATGCGGACAAATCCAGGGCACAGATCTTGAACGCCGTGGCAAGTCTCCTGGTTTTGCTGAGTGGCTGGCTAATTGGGACGACACTAGTATATAATATATATAGAGAGAATCTATAAAGTCCGTAAGGATCTTATTCATAGTCAGTATATACTATAGATAAGAGGTACACTGGGTATTCGTAGCTGGTAGACATTGGTAAACTCTTTTGTTACATGATGTTACATGCTTTTATCTCAGACAAGTGATTCAACCGGCTTCGACCTCCAATTCAAGTCGAGCACGGTCGGCAGGGTGGACCACGACCCAGTTTGGATATATCATGTTAACTGTCGGAGTCCTATATATAATATGTGCGCACCACCTCCCCCTGTACCCAAACTTGATGTTAGCAGATCTTGTGAAAGCTCAAATTTAGCCTAGTGGTTGTTTTGTAGAGACTTGGGATGTTTTATGTTCCCTTAGCTGTGAGTGTTTAGTATTTAAACAATCAGTTCAATGTGTGTGTTTTTCAATCAAATACATTTCATAGCTTAGCTCTCTACTGGAAAACATCCCAAGTGATTGCACTTCTTCGGTCGGTTTCTGCTTGACCTGGAAGCAGATATCATTTGATGTATACCAACACCTTTTTGTACATTATCGTAGAAGCCCCTTCGCACGTCGAACGAACACTGCAACCCCTTCGCTTGGTCGTCACAGCATTCCTTCCCGGACGTCGGACGTACCCGGGTTTAGGAAGCAGTGCACATAGAGGCAATCCATCGCCAGGCAGTTACGGCAGGTACGAACCCATGCAACATGCACATATACAGAGGATTCAGCAGCCATGTTTTTTAGTGTTTCTTTTCAAGCCAATGGATGGCGCCATAAGTTCTGGTCTTTCCGTTTGAAATCTTTGTGGCCGTTGTAGCGTTTCGTGATCAAGAGTCAAGCCAGATACCTATTTGGGGCAACCATAGGTATTGGCCCACGTGTAGGCATTATTCTAACTGCAAGAATGCAACACCTTGTGATCCATGAATACCACTTTTTGAATAGCCACTGGCCTTCTACACTATATATATATAATATGGAATTATATGGCACCTCCAGAGAACCAACTAAAGTATAAGAGGTTCCACTGCAAAAAAAAGGCATCAAAATCATTGAGAGGTGGGTACCGGGGGCAAGAACCATATCTAGCGGTTCCTATAGTTGTCTTATATTACCTGGACCATCCTGTCGGGGTGCCCTGTTTGGAAGCCTACAGGTAGTGTGGGGTAGTCCAGCCAGGACACTCATCCGATGCTCCTGGTATATTGTTTTATGTTTTGGGGTGGTGAAGTGTCTTCCTGACCCGAAGATCGAAGAGGCTCAGCTCCAAACGGAAGACACGGAGATCGAAGGCTCGGCTCCAAACGGCTCAGGCCTAGAGGCTCCACTCAACAAGACCTGGGCCTTCCGAAGCTTGAAGAATGGCAGCATCTTTCGTGTCTTCAGTGGCCTGTTCTATCTTCCTGAGAAGGTGCCGCTTTTGGGAAGAAAGCATCCGAAAGCGAAGTCATGCGAAGTCCACCTTTAGCACTGTTCGTTGTTTTTGTTTGAAGCTTAGTCCGCCTTCCGCGTGGCGAAAGCAAGGGATGGCAAGGGTGTCCACAAAAGTATCAGGTGAAGAGCTTCAAAGTGAGAATCAAGAGAGATGCGCCAACTTTTAAGTATTTCAGGTCGGTCCTAGTGAATGGACATGTTTAACATGTTAATTACACATTGAAATGGCATGTTGTTCGAAATCAGGCGCTTTTCTTCACCAAGTCGCCTTGGCCGGTGACACCACCAAGCCCTTCGGTTTTTGGGTGTTCTTCGCCTTCGATCCGTGGAGCGCGTGCTGCGCACGGGTGAGTTGGTGCGCTGTGGCGCCGTCGATCGATCGTGGGAGGCCTTCCCGCTCTTCCAAGCTGCAGCGCGGATCTTGAACGATTGGGATTTGCCCCACGAGACGCACGGAGAAACCGGTCGCGGTGACGGCACGTCATGGCCGTCGGTGTTGGGGTCTGGAACATGGTCGCCGTCATTGTCTAGCGAAGCGAGAAGACGGTGAAGACAAGCTATCTCACTTTGTAGCCATCAGGGGCTGGGAGATTCATATCCAAGAGGCTCTCTTCAAAAGTAACTCAACACCACCTGAGAAAAACAACAACAATCCCATTTTTCCGAGGGTCACTGAATTCCGAGACATGGCAGTGATCCTCCCGAAACCCCCGCTGTGCCGATGAGAACCGCCCAGGATTGCTGTGCCCATGCTGCTGGCCTTGTCAGAAGTGGAGCTTCAAAATCTGGGCTGTTCTCCCAAGGTGGCGCAGTCGAACAACAATTCAAGTGATGTTGTGTTCTTTGTTGTTGGGTCCGATGGGATGGTTCGGCGCGCAGTGCAGATGTTAAATCTCCATGGAAATCGGGTGTTTGGAGCGTTTTTTACTGGTGCACAGGGTTTTGTGACTGTGCGCGAACCATCTGATCGGGGGCAGGGAGTGTGGGAGGCATCGGTTTCACAGGACTTGCCATCGGTTTCATAGAACTTGTCCTCGGTTTCACAGCACTTTTTTATCGATTCGTCGTGTGATTCACATGGGGTGCTGGGGATGGTTTTGTTTTGTTACCAATGGGGATGGTATGCCGAACCATCCGATCGGCGCGTTGTTTTGTTGTTGGAGGTCCTAAATCTATAAGAAAACATAGGAGATATCATATCTATCGCTGTTTAAATTTGTGTGAAATCCTTTTATGGATGGGATAAATGGGATACCGCGCATCCAAGAGCATGGCTATTTGGGGAGGTCCTTTCCGTCCGCAAATCGAAGGTGAGTGAGCCTGAGTTCGCGAAGGGCTTCGTTTGTGCCTTGAACCTGGGTTGAAGGGACGGTGTGGAAGCGCAGTACAAGGAGCACTGCTGTTTTTCTGAAGAGTTGACTTTTGACGTCTGCACACAATTTGGATTGCTTGGAATCCTGCTGAAATTCGAAGGCCGTCGACATCCAGGAACACTGTTTCAAGTCTCAGTCTCTCCCCATCTACAGCCCTTCTTGACCTGTCAATTCTAGATCCATATCCATATCCATCTATCATAATCGATCCATCTATAATCATCTCCAGATGCTTCGTGACTTTGCAGTTACAAACGAACTGGGAGCTTTTTCACCGGGCAACACCGCCTCCTCTGGCGTTCACGGCCGGCCTTTTTCGTTCACCTGGCGGGCGAAGCAACAGGTCCGGGATGGTTCATCCACGAGTTCATGCGAGTTCCATGACTCAAAGTTGCACCTGTGGGACCTCACATGGAAAACAAGTGTGGCTAACATGGCCAACCCTAACCTCAAAGGCCATTAGTTTGACCCAATTTTCATGCCTGCGGCGCTTTCGCCTTTGAGTCTCGGTATCTCGCACGGACGTCCAGTGGCGGTTTCGCCAGCCAGCTCAGTGTTTTTTTTTTTTGAATCTGAGGTGGGCGTGGCTTTGAAAGCGATGTTTCTTCCATGGATACTCTTGAGGACATGCTTTGTGACCCTGCGAAATCTTGGCTTCAAAGTCCATATAAGTTTTTGCTTGTCATATTGGAAAAAGAAATCGTGGACGTTCGCGTCCCGGTTCAGGTTTGCCAACAGCTGGCTCGGTGCTGTACGGTATTTTGATTGCGGGGAATCAAGCCTTTGTTCTCAAATCATGAAGACCTCCGACGTAGACGTCGAAGGACGTCATGCTTCGGAAGAACCTTTTGCTTTTCCAGCTCCCAAATGATCCATGACTGGCGAAGAAAGTGTATCACCTACATGACTGGTGGTTTTGGGGTGGTGAAGATGTTGTTCATGTAGGTTGCGTTCCGGGTCGGACTGCCGCGACCGAGGAAGTACTTTCCGCCGCAGCAGCTCGTCTCGGAGATCCGCCCCGGAAAGGTCTCCTGGATGATGAGGACTCCCCAGGAGCTCCAGAGGAGCGAGCTTTTGGGATGGATGGACGTGGCACCCATCGTCCTTCTTTGGTTCTTTCTGAGGTTTTTGCTTGGGCTGAAATGCTGGGGTTCTGCCTATTGGAAGAACTAGTCAAAAAAACAACACAACGTGGACTGCGTGGACATGTTTGTTCTGCTCAGATGCTTTAAAATAGTCCTTGAAGACATCAAACATCATCAAATCCTGATTCGACCCTGCGCCTCCTCCATGTGAAGGTCAAACCGGTTTAGGAGGGTCGCTGATACATGTTTGGAGCGCATTGGTTTCCATGCATGCATACCGTATGCATATTATAAATAACATATATATATATGTGTGTTATATTTACACTATACAGTGTAACAATTACTTGGTGGCAGTGGTCACCATATAATGAGCCGTACATCATCGTACATCAAGAAGTGAAAGATGCAACAACCAACCGTGCATAGCCAACTGTTGAATATTGTCCACATACCTTTTTCAGGAGAATTATATCAGCATCTCTATATTGCTAAAAACAAGAAAACCCACAATGTTTTTTTGAGGTGAGGCCATTTGGCAGATGGCGCTGGGATGTCCTGTCGGTCCATGAGTCGGCATCTGGATCAAAATGTAAAGGATCAAAAGAAATCAATTGATCAAAAAGAACCAAACAAAAGGATCAAACACAAATCCAGTCAGTGATCCGTCCCCTAGGCCCTTGGTCTCCTCCGCTCATCCCCTGGTCCTTCGGTCTCCCGGTCCCGTGGTCCCCTAGGCCCTAGGCCCTTGGTCTGGACTGGTGCCCTAGTCCTTTGGTCCCCTGGTCCCTTTCCTGGTCCGCTGGTCTCGTGGTCCATTGGTCAATGTTGGTCAAAAACACGAGGTTTGCGGCAACAAAGCGCTACCTGGTTGCCTTGGGCCTTGCGTCACTTTCTGAGTGCCCTTTATTGATGAGGCAATGTAGTTTTTGAATGTTTTTGATAGTGATCTATTTTGTGGTGCCTTTTGAGTCTGATGGCTTTTGATGTTTGGCTCGCTCACGGGGGAGGCGCTGCTCCCTCCCCCCAACCCGAACAAACAGATTTTCTAAAGGTCACCCAGGCACCCATCGCTCACACAACAATTGCACGCACCCGCCTAAGTCTTTTTCGATTTTGTGTTGCAAGCGGTTGCAAGCATCCTTTCACTGTCCTGTGGTGGATGGGCCCCTCAATGATTACGGCAATAGGGTGTAATCGAATGTTCTCGATGATGATGTATTTTGTGGTGCCTTCAGCGCCTGGTGGCTTTTGTAGTTTTCAACCCTGCTTCGGCGCCACGAAATCTGCACTACTTTGGCCAATGCACTGGGCCTGCCACGACCGACCTTTTAAAGGTCACCCCTTCGCATATCCACACCAAGTATTGCACATCCTCGCCTAAGTTCTTGATTATTTGTTGCAATCATTCTTTCATGGTCCTTTGGTCGCCCGCCCTGCTCCAGTTGTCCTTTCCCTAGTCTCCTGTTCCTTTCGTTTCTCACTGAGATTTTTGTTTGATCATTTTTTATTTTTGATCCCCGCCAAATATTATTTATTCCCTCACCCACATGAGTCCACGGGCGATGTGGGATTGTTCGGTTGTTCTTTTCGCTCTGCCAGGAGCTTGAACGAGCAGAGCACTTTCGTTGTAGTTCTCTTGGTTTTGGTGTCCATCCTCCTGTGGTTTCGCATGAGAATTCTGCGACAAGGTTGGCACAGGGTGAATTCTGGACGCCCCTGAAGTGGCCTTGTCAAAAGGTCGGCGTCCCACGCGTCCCGCGTGGCATGGTTTAGAGATATTTAGGGTGTTTTCATCCCTTGAGAGAAGTAAGAGGTCATCCAGGTCACTGATTTGCAAGTGTTCGTTGATTTTTCCGTGCGCATCTTCCGAGTTGTATAATTGCATTAGATGGGACAGTTTTTGAGAGCTATGCAGGCCTTTGTCCAACATGCGAAGGACAGATGAAGCTCGTGTTGAATCCTGTTGATACGCACGATAGGCCGTTACATTATATTAATTGATACAGTAAGTGGACCTTTTTGAACAATGAATCCAGTCAATCCTGGTTTTTGCAAGATGCCACCAAGTTTGGATACGTCGGCAGCCTGCTTAACATATTTGAATTTGCCAGAATTAGAATGCTAGGCTGCCAGATTGGGTAAAATGTTTGGGTTCGGTGAAATTGACGAAAAAGCTTCAAGAGAAACTCGAGGTTTGGTAGGTCCCAGACTCCCAGCTCAGACTCGGCATGTAGACTCCCAGTTCAGACTGCGGTACCTCCGTCGCCCCAGCATGTGTGCTAAGCCACCTGTTGAAAGCTGTGACAAGTACCGATGGAAGTATACTGGAGAAGCACAAGGGGTGGCTTGACCCAACTAGAAGACACAGAGAAGATTGAATAGGGAAGAACCAAAAATCCTTCAATTTCTGCCACTTTCGCCACGGCCCCGAACAGATGGACTTCTGCTTGCCGCCATTGGCTCCAGTTCCGGTCGATCCATCCGCATCGTCCGCGGCACTCGCGCCACGCGCCAAACGCGTGTCCAAACGATCGAGGTCACACGGCACGTGGCGGTGGGGTCACGCGGTGGCGGTTGGGTCACCGTGGTGGTGAAGGCCAGGAGTACAAAAGCTGGTGCGTAACCCTGGTGGAAAGTAAAGACTGGATCTTTGAATTGAATTGCGGATGAATGTGTGTTTTCTCCCTGATTGGCAACCTATCAGGCTTTAGCCCTTGACGCGTAGCGTGGTTTTTCAACCTGCCAGGCCATGCGAGCAATGCTGGCAGTGTCCCGCCGGGCAGGCGCCACAAATGCTTTGGCGTCCAATGCTTTGGCGGACACCTACAGTTTTGTTGAATGAATGGGTACGTCAAGTATCCAACTGAGTTTAAAAGGAGATGTTGCGGAGGGTCGTTTGACAAACAATTTTGACCGTCTTCCAAAGACTCTAGACTGCTCGTTTGACTACCTCAAAACTGATTCAAGGGGCTTGGGAGTGGAGCTTTTGATCGGTTTGAGTTTTACATCGTGTTTCTGCAGGAACCACTTTTAGTTGTCAAAACACAAACGATCACAAACGATATTCGGTGGATTTCCGTTTAACAGGGCCTTCCAAGAGTTTTTGGATGGTTACATTCAACACTGTTTGTGTCGAATTTCTCCAACATGCTTGTACCCAGCTAGGAGATTGTGAGCTTCACCTTGTCGTCGTCCGTGGGGAACGGTGGATCGGCGACCGGCTGAGCGTCACACCGGAGCGGTTTTCTTCGAAGCGCCCCTGGGCCCCAGGCGTTGGAAGTTTGTACCCATGTGAGAGTAGCTTTTCTGAATCGTTTGGAAATGGTCTGGAAATTCCTTAAAAACCAGGTGTACAATTCCGTAGTTTATGTTTCAGGTGTCATCTATCTTCCGGGTCCCTTTCACCGGACCTCATTTAGAAGACACATTGATGCCAGCGATGCCAGGCGTGGCCCGGGCATGGCCACAGGCGCGCGGTGTTCTGGGAGTCTTCCAGAACAAGGGAGTCTTCAAGAACACCGTAGTTTCCAAGTGGAAGAACTGCTGTGCAACATTGTACAATTCCGCCACTTGCCCATACTCCCCTTGGCAACTGATGCTGTATTTCCTACAGATAGAGTAGCTACCAGTCTCCAGTGGAACCGGGGAAGGTCATACACTCCATACAGGGTTCCTTGTGCTGCCCTGCAATGACACACCTTTGCTGAAGCTGCCAGCTTTAGAGGCATTCTCGCACCACTAACAAATCCACTTGATGGTTCACTGGATCCTTCACATGGATCTGAGAAAAAGCTTTGCTCTGAACATTTTGGCCCCAGACTCCAAGAGTTGGTATAGAGACGGATCTGAGAACTTTGTGGCGTTGACCTGCATCGGCTCTAGCGGCTCCTTATCCATCCATGATCATCCAGGCCTTCAAACCGCGAGGGATCTGCGGTTTTGATCGATTCGACCGGTGAAGAGGTACGCTTCTTCTCGGCCTTCACGCAGCACAAGGTTGGAGAGCCAGGCACCCTGGAGTACCGAATGCACTTCAAGGAGACCTTGGCAGATGGGGGTTCCTTGATTTGGGAAGGTGTTTCGGTTCAATTCAACCTAATCATATCATGGGTTTCACAATGTTTCACACAAACAGATTGGACGGTGTATGGTTGTTTTGTTGCTTCTCACATGTGTTCACACATCTCTTCATTCTATAACCAAAACCACTTAGTAGCAAACCTGCCAAGCACAGCTCACGAGCACGCGACGCTCAGCGTGCTCGCGACCGGCGTGCGTAGCGTGCTCGCAGGACGGCAATGGGAACCAGATCTCCCCGTGGCACGACATCCCTCTGAAGAGCGGCGAGGCGTCCGCGACGGTCCGTCCGGCGACGTCGCGGACCGGTGAGTTGGAGTTGGAGAGAAACTCCAAGCGCCAGGCGGCCAGGCGAAAGATGGGGCGGTGATTCAGTCGTGTTTTTTTTTTCGTGTGTTTCTTTCATAGTGTGGAGATGTTCTATGAGCGTCACGGAATTGGAAGGGATGGAATACCATCCTTACAACGGGGCAGGGGTGGCCTGTTCAGGTTGGGCGGCCGTCTACCCAATTTTGTTGTAATTTGCTGACTCTAGGTATCCCTGTTACTGTTATCCCAAACATTCCCACACTAGTGAGTGCACGGCACGCGTGCCGTGGAGGGATGTTCTCAAAAGCCTCCCTGACATGAGACTCTCAAACCTTGGAGTGTGTTGGTCAGTATACACTGTGTTGGTCATGTGAAGGCTCGGTCACTCATCCTGGATGATTGGTGCTGATCGGATGGCTTGCTTGGATTCTATCCCATGCCGCCCCATTGACCCCCCCTTTTTCAACCACCCCAACTGATCGGCACAGACGGCAGCAGGAGTGTTTGGGTCTGACTGCGCGAGGTCAGCAAGCGCGAGTAGAGAAGGATCGCCCGGATCCGCCCGGACCGGGATCCACTGGCAAGCGCTCAGAGGGTGATGCGTGTTCGACATGTGTTGATAGGCAAAGTGATCGTCCACACCGGACCTGTTGAGACGGTAGGACTGGTGACCGGTGGTTTTCTTAGGGCTGGCGCCCCTCCGAATTCCGATTCGATCTGGCAGAACTTCAACTGCTTGATCGAAATCCCGAAGAACACCAAGCCCAAGATGGAGGCAGAAGAAGTGGCAGAGTGGGAAGGTTTGGATGCTGAAGATGTAGTGATTGTTCAATCACATGTGAGGACTTGCCAGTGATTGTTATCCACAACAGGCTATGTTGCTGAAATGTTACCGGGCAGGCAAACAGGAAAGGGTGTTTGTCCTTTGGTGGGGCAGAGAATGTGAAAAGAATGTGGTCGCTTAGTCGCCCTTGTGAATCCAAGGATCACCAGAATCTTTGCAGACCTGACACTGTTGCAAACAACTCATGCCGACACAGCTGACAGGTGGCTGTGAAGGAGGAGATGAATCCTATTGCGCAGGATGTCAAGAAAGGCAAGGATGGTGCAGCAGTCATTCTTGAACAGAATGCTGACCCTCCAAAGAACAGCACTCTGCAAGCACAACCCAACACCTCCAAGCAGGAGGTGTAACAGTGCGAACCTTTTCGCCCATATCACTTATTGTACAACCAGACCCCGTGCCAAATGTGTTTCGCCGTGTATGAACATTCCCTTGCCCTTGTCAGTCGACCTACTCCGGCGCAGACGCAGACTACCACCCGACAGGCAAGTTGCGGGACTACCACGGCCCCATTTTTTGGAACTATGGCATGTTGCCTCAGACCTGGGAGGCCTCGAAAAAACGATTTCTTACAGTGCGCGATCCTCGCGCACACTCGCGTTTCATTCGTGCGAGAGACGGGGTAAACCGGCCTCGAGAGAAGTCCGGATTCGGATTCGGCATTGGAAGAAAGACGAAGCGGTCGAAGCGGTCGGTGTCCACAAAGTGTTTCACTTCGAAGGCTTCGGAACGAGTTTCCTTTCACAGTGGTGGGCAGGGCATTGATGTGGATTTGTCAACTTGAGACATTGTGAGACTATAGATAAGAATTCCTTTGCATCTAAGGCTTAGGTGTTTGAACATATGAAATCATATATGACATAATTATAATATATTGATAGAAAGGATGCCCAAGCACACTGCGCAAAAATGTTTTGCACAATGCGCTGCACCCTCAAATGCTAAGTTGATCCAATCGTTCCGAATGTTTAAAACATGTTAAAACTATTCAGCCCATTCGGGTGCCCTATACATCATTTCTTCGCAAAAGGTTTCCAAACGAACCATCAATCAAGGTCATCCAACAAAGACCAAGCAATCTTTTTCAACACGACAAAACCCAAAACGTTTCGGCCAGGATCCCAATGTCACCCACGACGTCACCAAGTGCAACGGCGACAACGCCCGCCGCCTTTGTGCGACGTGCGCGCGAAGCTCGCGCTCCTGTCCCGGTGGACGAAGGGGTCGGGGACGGTGGCAAACCACCGAGAAGAACGGCGGTGAGCTGTTTGGGGGACGAACAAACGTTTGAGCTGCAGGCTGAATTGAATTGATGTCGTTCTATACTGCAAAAAACAAGGTTTGAACTTGGGGACAACCCTTTTAGACTATATCAACGCAGCCGTGCCCACCTTCGAATCACAAAACCAGCCTGGAAATTTGTCGCATGAGCTGCAATCTCTGAGACTCACTTTTGTTCCAGTAGGAGCTACTAGGAGAGGAGGACCTTACACCAGGGACGATTAACATGGAACCTGAACATGGACCGTTGGAAGACTACCTCCACAAACCAACGGTTTTCGAGTTCCATGTTAATCTCCCGGGCGTAAACCCTTAACGATCTTTTAACACAAGATAATTGGCAAGACACCAAAACCATGCCACTGTTTGAATTCAGACAAATTCAGATTCAGCTGCAGTCTCCGTACCCAATCACATGGAACATGACCTCCAATAGTCAGAGACTGTACCATGTTAAAGGGTTAGGCCAAACATTTGTTCATATTTTCCATAAAGGTACATAAAAGCCAACACAGGACTCCTTCTTCCAATGTGTTTTCTTTCGATGTGTTTTTTCCCATATTTTCGCACTAAAGGTACGCCACAAAAGAAACACAGACTCTTCTTCCGTGCTTTTAATTCCCCCAATTTTCCATAATATTAAGATATATTATGATATATTAAGATACACGAAAAGACAACAAATAAGGGGGGATTCTATCTTTTGAACCCATCGGGAGTCACATCCACACGTTGTGTTTCAACATGTCACAGTCCACACCCGGTTGCTGCCCGGTCCGCCTCGTCTGCTTCGTCATCGTGACCGCCGGACGTGACCGAACGCTGCCCCAAGGATCCCGTGGACGTGGTGGAGATCGGGTCAGAGGCGGTCGACGTTTGATCGGGGGGACGAATCCAGGGCGGTGGTTCCAAATGGAGAGATCCCCGGGTCTAGAACCGCTTGGAAGATGGAAGATGGATCAAAAACGCCATGGGCTGGGGGGCTACCCACTTTCCATACATACCCTACGCCTCCAAGTACCTCCTCAGAAAGGTATTTGTCCAACCCTAAACACCTTCTGAGGAGGTACTTGGAGGCCTAGGGATATCCAAATGTGTTCATGAAGTCTAGACGGACCTCGCCGTTGATGTCACTACTTCATGGATATTTTAAGGAGACAAATCCTGCAGTATCTATGAATGTTTCTTGTGGCTACAGTCATACACTCCTTGCAAATGGCACCGATGCGCGGGGGCGATTGTTGGAGATAGGGCATTCATGTGTATATGATACAAGGGGTTATAATGGGTTATATTGGGTGTTGTGGTCATCCACTGCCCCATGTTCCAGTAAATACACATCTCTGGCCAATGTATGCAAATGGGATACAAAAAGGGTCAAGTATATTACAACTTGTTTGTTGAAAGGTAAGATTGATGACTCCAAATGATAAAACATGATAAAGCTATACCCAAGCCTTCCCACAACTCTTGATTGAATGGTCCTATAGGCCCATGTGTATGGCCTTTGTCTTCTCCCAAGTCAACCTAACCAACAAAAACCAGTGCGTTCGATTGAGGCGAGCCACTCATTCGAGTTCAGTGCTCTCCTTCTCTCCCGGACGCTGAGGCCTTGGCCCAGGGCTCCATCGAGCCGGTGAAGGTCGGTGCCGGTCGTTGGTCTCTTTTCGTGGCGTCCACCGTGTGAGCTGCATCCTACACCAATTGTTCATTGTTCATATACATGACCCTCTGTAGCTCATACACCGAACTGGAAAGAAAATACATGCGAAGACCATCCAGCAGTCAGGAGTTGGGTGTTTCTTTTTGTTATCTCATCCAGTGAGTGGAGAGTGCGCACCCCGACTTCCTCCAAGTTCGGCACCTGTTTGCGATTCCTGCGGGACAACATGAAGGTTCTCAAGCAGAACCGAGAAAAGAGCAACAACCTGATCAAACCCAGTGGCGTTCCCTTGGGGGAGTTGTACCATTATCTCACCTAATTTGACCGTCAAGAGAGCGAGGATGCCTTAAACAGAACTTAACATCCTCAAATCACATGGTCAATACCGTGCACATTCTAAAAACATGCGAGAAGAACACCCAGACCTGACACGACAAGCTGGGACTGCCATAGGACTGCCACCCCATTGACCCCTCTGGCACCATCGCCTCGGTCGATGACCTCGAGGTCCTGGGGGCCTTGGCCATGATCGATGATGGAGAGTTGGACTGGTGTGGGACCTCAGGAATGGCTTCTTCGCCGAAAAGCTGGCGACCGACTCGAGACTCGAAACCTGGACCACATGGTTCCCTAGGGCTCCAAGCATATCAGGTGGTTAGACCCCCCAAACCCACCCCAACCACCTTCTCAGGAGGTAGTTGGAGCCCTAGGGGTTGTTCTTGGTGAATTTCTGGTTGAAGCCTTGCCTTGGGTAATCTCTGGCTGATTGATGGGCCGCACTCGTCGTGCTGTCATGCTACGATGCTCTTTCGGAAGCAAGGCGGCTTAGGTTTGGGACATGGTGGTGAGTTACAGGTGGGTTCTGGAAACATTTGGGTGCCGAGATTGGAGGGAATGGGTGCCCATTATATCCGATCCACTCACTCAAGGACTAAGAACCACCCTGGCGACCTGCAGGAAGATGCAGATCGTTTGTTGGTCACTTGGAGTTTTATTCCGAGACACGTTTTCCATCGTGCGGAGTGAGTTGTTTTGTTTCCCACCCCAGCGACCGAGTTGTGCAGGAAGACCCGGGACCGAGTTGGGGTGGGGTCGGGCTCTTGCTTTGCTTCATGTGTGAAACAGGGAGGCTTTGGGGTTGACCAAACATGTCAAAACCAAACCTCCCAAGAAACCGCCTGGACTTTGGGAAGCATGTTCTTTCCCATCTGGCAGGTGTCATACGACTCTCGTCCCAGACGAAACCGACTGGTGCGACTCTCGTAGGGCATGGGGGACGAGCCAGACTCACCCTCAGAGCTTCCCTTTTGGAACCACCCATCCCTTTCGTCGCGGTCGCACGTCCGTCGCACCCAAAAGTCCCAAACATCGGCTGTGCCGGGTGTCACCCATTCGGATCCGGTCGCGCGACCGGGACGAACGAGGAAGATTATTGGCATCCGCGCAGTCAGGGGCCCTCGGGTGTTGGTGCAATGGGATGTGGTCTATATGTTGCATATTGGAAGCTAAATACAAACATAGAAGATTGCACTTTCAATCAAGTTGGAACTTGAACGAACTGCATGTGTAGATGGGGATTGGAACATATACACATTGTAGGAACAGCACACACAGTTCCTTCTTTGAGTGTTTGTTTGTCTTACGTTGTTCCTTTCATCCACCCAGCAAGAGGTAGACGCAGTCTGCAAGTGCATCAACTTCATCAACACATGAGCAGTCTATGTGAATATTGTGAATTATATAGATAGAACCAGGAACTGTCCAAATTGGAAGGCGACCTCTCACAGTGATCACGTCATATTCTCTAGCTTGTCATTGTAGTTGTTACATTACATTGTTGAATCATGTCACAGTGCATCGGAGAAGGAAGAAAGGCACCTCCCCCCCAAAAAAATCACTCATTGCTTTGGGGGATGTGGAACGCCACCGTGGCCCATATCGCCATCGATTCTTGGTTCCCATGGCCGCGGTCGCGGGAGTTGGGTGCTCCTTGGAGGTCGACGGTCGCGACCGAGACAGCTGAGGCGGACCAGCTGGCGGCGGAGCTCAATGACATCAAGGACGTTGAGGTGCCGTGCTACGTTCCGCGTGGGGCGGTGGGGAACTCACCGGATGGAGGATGATGGAGGGGATGGGAGTGGAGGAAGAGTGACAGCAGAATGGACTCGACCTTAAATGCAATCCAGCCGTTGTGTAGGGAGTTCCCAATAGGCTGTCCATGTGGATCATGAATACCCACCATTTGCAGAAAGGATTGCCCAACATTGGTCGCGACCATATCAGTGTGCCATAAAACCTACTGAACATCCACATCTCCTGGTCACTTCCCCATGCTTTTCTCCGCAATCTTCAGACCGAACCGCTTTTAACTGACACTCCACGCGCACCACTGGCACCGGAATTGGCATGTTTGTGGCACCGCGCTGGCTGTGGCCAGTGGCTCCACTTCTGGTGCTGGCACAGCAGCCTGGGAGTTTGACACCCGAGAAAGGCCCCACGATCCATGGACGCACAAGCAGGTTTTGTCCCTTGCCCATGTCACAATCATAGGCCCTGATGCATGATGCATCTATATTATTATAGCAGTTCGATCGGCCGCTTGATTTTCGTGTGATGCCATGAAACATGGTCAATACTTGCTTGAAGCCCTTTTGTACCAAGAAGAAAAAGGAAGGCACTTCCTTTGATCTAGGTTATGAGCCCAAGCCACGCCATTTGGCTGGGTTCTTGGATCTTTTTTTAGCTTTCGCCATGAGCGATGAAGGTGTCTCGGAGAAGACGCCCGACAGTGGCGGTGGGATCCGTGCCATCGAAGATGTGGCACCATCGGCGGGAGTGGTAGCCTGCCCGGCAGGGCCTCCGGTTGTCTTAGGTCCTGCCAACTGGAACCCGTTCTGGTCCGAGGGTTTAAAGGAGGAAGCGATCCTTCGAGCGATTCGTCCGGTTGACCTTCCATCGGAGTCGACGGAGCTTCTTCCAAGTGATACCCCGGGGGCAAGTCCGACTAAAGACATGCCCGATGCTGTCAAGGCAATCATCCAGGGTCTGATCAGTGAGAACAGTCGCCTATGGTCGGAAAGAGAAGCTTGGGGGAACTCCCAGGTGAACCAACGATGGTGTCAACCAACAGGTCCTATGGGGCAGCAGAGCTCGTGGGGATCCATGTGGGAAACTATGAGGCCTTCATCTTTGAATCCAGGTATGCCGAATGATGGTGGCTTGCTTGGCGCTTTGGCTGGAGGTGGAGCTCGTGGGGGGCATGTGGGCTATGGTGGGTTTGGTGACTATGGTGCAAACCCCCTTTGGCAGCAAGCACCCAGAACAAGCCTTATGGAGGTTTTCAACAGAGTTTCATCCGTGGCTGCCGGAGGCATGATGGGCGTGATGGACATGTCCAAGTCTCTGTCGAAGGCATGTGCAGGTGGGCCTGGGCATGAGTTTGCCTCGCTTGCTAGTTTGGGTTCGGGTCTCTTTGAGCCTGGGGTCTCCAAGGGTGGCACCGATCGAGTTCTCGGTGATGCGGGACAAGATCTACAGAAGCTGACCTGCGCTCCAGGTGAAGCTACGAGTGAGAGAGAGCCTTCGGTTCGTGAGCCATGCCCTACTGGTACGTCCAACGGTCCAGCTCCAGGTGCTTCGTCGGCAAACCCCAATGGAGGCGGGTTTCAAGGAGGGCATCTAGGCTGTGGCGGTCGAGGGCATCCAGTTTGGGGTGTTCAAGGGCAAGGTCGGGCGGGTGGCCGTGGGGGACTTCATGGAGAAGCTCTTCCTGGCGGGAATGGCCCAACTGACCGGCCTCAAGGTAGTGCTCCTGGAGGAGGTCAACCGTTTGGGCATCCTGGCGGTGGTGGGGGCTTACATGGTCCTCCCGGCGGTGGAGGCTTTCCTGGTGCACCGGGGGGTGGAGGTTTTCCGGGCCCTCCTGGTGGTGGCGGTGGCCCTCCTGGTGGTGGCGGTGGCATTCCGGGTGGCGGTGGAGGCTTCCCTTGGGGCTCGAGGTGGTGGAGGTGATCCGGGTGCTCCATATGCCGGGTTGCCTGCTTGGTTGGGAGGCATCATGGCCCAGCAGGAGTCGGTCCGTGCGGTCGATTTGCCACCTTTGCAGGAACTTTCCGAATCTGAGATTGGTCCCCTGATCGCTGGTGATTGGCTGACCACTGTGGGCCCGTTCCTGAGAGATATGAGCTCAAGCTCTTCGATGTGGTGGGATGAGGTCCTCAATGTGGCGGGAACTCTCTACAGGGTCTGGCTCAACTCTGAGCCCATGGAGAGGTTGAGGTTGGTGCCGATTTCTCCACCAGCTTTTCAGCGTCCACCCTGGCTTCGCATTGAGCAAAGAGGATCTGTGGCTTTGTTGAAGGCCATCCCAGAGTCCATCCGTGCAGAACTGGTCTCGCAGCGAGAAGTTGGGTCGGTGAGCATCATCTTTAAGATCCTCAGGGTGTACCAACCTGGAGGGCTGGGAGAGCGGACGACACTGCTCAAGCAACTGGTCGACCAAAAAGTCCCATCTCAGCTTGGTGAATGGCTGTCTTCGTTGAGGGCATGGCGGCGCTGGCTTACGAGGGTGCAAGAACTTGATATCCAACCTCCAGATCCGGTGCTCCTACTGGCCACTCTGGACCGCTATGCTGCGAATCTTGCAAAATGCTCCTCTCAAGTCGCCTTCCGCTTGCAGGTCACTCGTGCGGCTCTTCGCGTTGATGTGGCTCCGACAGAGAACGGAATTCAGCAGTTCGCTGAATCTCTGCTCGCGGAGGGTGAGGCAACTTTCCATGGTGGGTCTACGGCGCCTGTTAAGGACTCCGTGAAGATTCGTGCCTTGGATGGAGATGGAGCCGTGAAGGACGATGGGGGAAAACCTCGTGATGGAAAAGACAAAAGCAAAGACGCGGGGGACGCCAAGGACGTGAAGGACACCAAGAATGGCAAGTCCGATCCAAAGCTCTCCAAAGTTGATCAAAAGAGTGGATACAATGACAAGCCCGTCTGCAGGTACTTCCTCTCGGAGTCGGGATGTAAAAAGGGTCAGAAGTGCTCGTTTCCGCATGAGTGAAAGGGAGTGTCAAAACAAGGGAGATGTTGGTCGTGCGGGTCAACTCAGCATATGAAGCCGGATTGTCCGGTCAAAGAAGTTCCGAAGGTCAAGAAGGAAACCATGGAGGATTCCAAGGTGAAGGAGGCTGGTGGCAAAGGAGTGGACACGTTGAGTTCGTCGCCGGGGGAGGCACCTACTTCGTCGTCTTTTACACCACCCCCTGTTCAGCCATCTGAAGATTTGGTGAAGGAAGCGGTGCAGTTGCTAAAGTCCTTGCGTCCTTCCATCAAAGCAGTGAACATGCGCTCCGTCAATCCCAAGGAGGGTGCAATGAGGGCTCTTCTGGATGGGGGAGCGACCCATGTCTTGCGGCCAGCCCGCAACAAGGCAGAGTTCGAGAAGGCAATGCCCATCAAAGTGGAGCTGGCAGCGGGGGTAACTACTCTTCGCCAGGTGGAGGCCACTGGGACGTTGTTGACCGACTTTGAGACCCAGACCATAGTTCCCTTGGGCAAGATCGTGCGCCTGGGCTATAAGGTGAAGTGGGAGGGGGACGTGTTTGAGCTCCTGAGTCCAGCCGGAAAGGAGGTGAAGGTTCTTCTGGAGGCGGGATGTCCCACGGTCGAGCTCCAGGTGGCCCATCAGATGATCACAGAACTCGAAAATCATGAAGCTGATGTGAGCCGGCGTGTTTCTGCACTTCGAGCAGGTGATCCTGGTGACTTGGCTCCCAGTGTTTGGAAATGGCTCACTGACTTGAGAAAAATGTGGCCAGAAGTTCCTGATGAGTTGCTGGCTAGAGTCATTCCCACTGGTCGCTGGTCTGGAGACCAGGTTCCTTTGAATCGCCGACAGAGGCAAAGGGTGATGTCGAGCTCGTCAGTGATTTTGCACTTGTTTTCGGGCCCGGATCAATCGTGGTGGAAGAAGCACTTGGAATCTGGCTCCAGGACAGTCGTTTGCATTGACAAGTCCGTCGACTCGGCACAGGACCTCTTGTCGGACCAGCTCACCAGCTTCTTGGCCGAGGTGTGTGAGAAAGGAGTTGTGGACGTAGTTCTCGGGGGGGCCTCCTTGCAGGACGGTGTCGAAACTTCGCTTTAGACGTCCAGGTCCACCACCACTTCGTGCTCGAAACGGCCCAGAGAGGTTTGCCCTGGAGGAGCTTTCCGATGCCATGCGTGAACTGGCATTTGGTGATGCGGTGCTTTGGATGAGGCAGCTCTGGCTATATATGTTGGCAAGGGCGGCACGAAGTCATTTGGTCTTCTTCCTCAAAGAGCACCCCCGTGACCCTGAGGAGTACAAGGTTCCTGGGGATCCGGTCGAGTACCCGTCCTTCTATGCTTGGCCGGAGTGGGAAAAATTCAGGGATGAGTTCAACCTCAAGGAGATCCGACTCGATCTTGGAGCTCTTGGTCATGACCGAAGAAAGCCGACAACGTTAGGTACCAACTTATCGCTCTTGAGCTACCTGGACGGCTTGTCGGATCATCGCATCAGGGAGCAGGTGGTGGGAACTGATGCACCGATTGAAGAAAGAACATCACAAAGCCGCGGGTGGGCGGCGTGGCCGGTCAAATTCAAGGAGGAGGTGGTAAAGGCCATTCTACTTGAGCTTGAGGGGAAGGCTGCAACCCTTGGGGAGGAGGATGCCGCACATCTGGCCAAGATGACATCGGAACAATGGAAGGTGCACGTTCTGAATGACCATGTTCCCTTCTCAAAAGAATGCACCACGTGCTTGAAGGGAGGAGGCAAGAGTCGACCACATCGAAAAGTTCCTCATCCGGATGCAATGACGCTGTGTGGCCCTTTCCGTCCGGGGGAGGATTATCGCAAGAAGTCTCGCTACTTCCTGGTCGGCGTCTATGCGATCCCAGTGCGACGAACAGCAGAGGGGGAAGATCCACTTCCTCAGAGCCTGGCGGAAGCCTTGGCATCGAAAGAAAGTGATGATGAGGAGCCCGTTGAGGGTCCGCTACTTCCAGAAGCCCAAGAAGAACCAGTGGAGGCCGGTGAGGGTGATCCAAAGGGCATGGAAGAGTGGGAGCGTTTGGAGGTTGAAGCCGAGGAGGTGGTCATTATAGGAACTACACTTTGGTGGAAACTTTGACCTCTCGCCATGTTTCGGAGTTGAAGTCTGGAATGGCTCGTATGGTGGCAAGGCTCAAATACCTTGGCATGGAGGTGCGTCGAATTCATAGCGACGCAGCTGGTGAGATGCGTGGGACTCGGAGGTGGTGTCACGACCGGGGCATCTACAGAACTTTCACCAGCGGGAGTGACTGGAAAGCCAATGGAAGGGCGGAGGCGGAGATTGGGGTCATCAGGAGGGGCATCAACACGCTGATCCGGTCTTCAGGCGAAGGTGAAGAGTTGTGGCCGCTGATGGCCAAACACATTGGTGAACGTCGTGGCCGCATGCAGCTGAGGGCACTAGGCTTCTCCACGCCGGCTCTGCTTCCATGGGGGAGGAAGGTCATGGTCACAACGAAAGGCTGGGATGACTTTCAGGGACACTGGCGACAAAGAAAGAAGCCTCCCATGGGGTGGTTCGAGGACCAGATCCGGAGATGAGCCTCACAAGTGGTGGACACGTCGTGGAGGTCGAGAAAGGGAAGTATGTCCGGACCAATGACATCGTGGTCGCTGAGAACCCGCCCTCGTTGGAGGACATTGTCACCGTTGAAGAACGACCTGAGCCTGCTTGTATCTTGGATGGGGAGATGGTGCCACGCCGGAGGCTGACAGAAAAGACCTCTTTGTCATTTCTCTCTCCACAGGAGCTTCAAGATCGTCTTCGAAGAGGCCAAGATTGGGCGAACGAGGAGTTTGGTCGGTTGGAGGTGGCAAGAATGGGGGACGGTGATCCGTTTGGGGTGGTCTATGACTTGGACCGCGAGAATGAGAAGATTGAGGGTTTGCTGCCAGACCAAGGGCTAGCGTGTCGGAGGTTGGAGGCGGAGATGACGAAGGTGGCGGAGGAAGAGGAGGGTGTGTTCCTGCAGACTCGAACGGTTAGCCTGCAAGAAGTGAGAAAATCTTTGCCCTTGTGGATTCCACCGCTTCGCACGGAGATCGACAACTTCGACAACAACAAGGCCATCAAGAGGATCGATGAGGAACAAGTTCAAGAAATTCTGGCCAGCGCCCATGAAAGAGGGGAAAGAGCTGAGCTAATACCTGGAATGGGTGTTTTCACGAGGAAGGCTGGCGATGGTCGGCGAAGGGCCCGAATTGTTTGCTGCGGAAACTACATGGAACCTCGTGCAGGTGATGAAGTCTATGCTACAGGAGCCGATTCCACGCAGCTACGGGCAATCCTTCGTATCGCGGCACTTCGAAACTGGGAATGCCTTTCTCTGGATGTCAAATCAGCCTTCCTTCTCCTTTCGACCTATGGAGGACTCGAACCTCTGGGCGATCCAGGAGTTTGTCGCGACGGAGGACGGGGCTCGGAGGTGGGGAAAGGTGCTGGGCCACATGATCGTGTATGTGGATGATGTGCTAATGCTGGGACCAAAGAATATCACGGAGGCAGCTTCATCCACTATTCAGAGTCGATGGTCCACTTCTTCTCCAGAATATGCTTCTATTGGAGGGGATTCGATGAGGTTCTTGGGCATCGAGATCAGGCGCTTGGAGGATGGCACCTATCTTCTCCACCAAGAATGTTATGCCCGTGAAGTATTGGAGCGGCATCCTGGTGTTTTGGCTTCTCCCTTCATCAAAGTTCCCGAGGGTGAGGAGGACGAAGAGGCAGCTTCCCTGCCGAAAGTTCGAGAAGCTCAAAAGATCACTGGAGAGCTCCTTTGGCTGTCGGGTAAAACTCGCCCGGATCTCGCATGGGCAGTGATGAAGATGGCCCAAAGCGCCCTCAAGCGTCCAAGGTGGACCGTGGAGTTGGGTAAGGCTCTTCTGGCCTATGTGAAGTCATCGCTGGATTTTGGCCTTCACTATACAAGTCAGGTGCCTGAGGATTCTTGTCCGGATCTCCAACGGGTTAAGCCTCGCCACTCGGGCACCTTGGAAGTTTTGGTGGATGCTTCTTTTTCACCAGGTGATGGTCATAGCATTTCAGGAACCATTGTCCTGTTGGCAGGATGCCCAATTCAGTGGGAGTCGAAGAAGCAGAGCTTGATGGCACTTTCCACTGCGGAGGCTGAGCTGACGGCCATTGTGGATGGACTACAAACTGGCAGGTCGGTGCGGGCTTTGATCGAGCTCCTCAATTCGAAGGTGGACCTGGAGATCCACAATGACAACCGGGCGGCGATCGTTCTGGGGTCGGGATCAGGCGGCGGTTGGAGGACCCGTCACCTGCGAATCAGAGCGAGTTGTCTGACAGAGGTGGTGAAGGTTGGAGAACTCTCACTGAGTCATCGTATGGGGAGTTCTTTGTGGGCCGATGGCCTTACAAAACCTCTTCCTGCTCATCATCTTGGCCGTTTCTGTCGTGGAGTGTGGCTGGGGGGTCCGTCGTTGAGCACCGGGGAGCAGGAGAAGGAAAAGAGCGTGACGGTCCTGGCAAATCCCACGGGCAGTCAAGTCATCAAATCTATGTCCCTCTTGGCTGCAGGAGTTGCTTTGTTGCCAGGAGCTCAAGCGTCTGAGACGTGTGAGAGAAAGGTGACAGAAGAAGATCGCAATGCCTCGTGGGGAGATCAAGGATGGATTCTGCTCCTTGCAGGGCTGGTGTGCGTGCTTCACTTCATCAAGGAGCTGGGTTGGGAGCTGGTGAAACGCCTGATTTCCAAGGGAGAGTCTCTGAAGGTCACGTTGTTGAATGATGAGGCAACGCTTCCGACCAAGGGTTCTCCGGGCGCCGCTGGCTGGGATCTGGCATCGCCGGTGCATTGCTCTCTTCAACCAGGAGAACGTCGTCTGGTACCTCTTGGCTTGGCGGTGGAAATCCCTTCAAACTCCTATGGGAGAATAGCCCCGCGCAGCTCTTTGGCCATTCGGGGAATTGATGTGGCAGGTGGAGTGATTGATGCTGATTACAGAGGGGAGATCAAGATCATCATGGTGAACAACAGCCGCCAGGAGACCTTCACGGTGAATGTGGGGGATCGAATCGGCCAGCTGATCCTAGAGAGGATCTCCAATGTGAAGATCCAATCAACATCCTCCTTATCATCTTCGGTCAGGGGACAGCAGGTTTTGGCAGCTCGGGCATCAGGACTATGACGCCTTCATCGTCTACCAACCTGCCTGAGGAGCTCTATGGCACTGGGCAGCCGGCTGTGAGAAGGGTGACAACAGAGCAGGAAGCGACGCGAGATGCGGACGAAACCCGTGACGAGGGTTTGTCGGTGGGCCCGCATGTATTCTTTGATGGGGTTCTTTTCGCCAAGGCCGAGGAGACGTTGCCCAACTTCCTTCGTCGCTTGAGGCGTGAAGATCTGAAGAATTTCAAGTGGATGCTTCCTGAACCCCTCATCAAAGAGCTTGAGACTCCTACTCGGAGGTCGCCGGTGGCCTTTCAGCTTGAGGCCATCCAGGGCACCCTCAACATCCTCATGTTCAGGCACGAGGACTGGCGGAAGAAGCTCTATGACTCGGAAGTGAATGCACCTCCCTCCAACAACGGCATTTCGGCTGGAGTTGTGACGCTGGGTAGTCTCGAAGATGGTCGCATCTTTGCACGGGTGGACAATCGCCGAGGAAACAGATCCATGAGCTACCTCAAGCAAAATTGGAGGGGTGTCAGTGTTTTCTACTCCTTGTCGAGCTCCAGTGTGGGCGCTTGCTGATCCGAGGCTGACGCGCTCAAGGGTGGCATTTCTGAGAGGGGATTGTGCTTAGGCTTTTGTCATAGATGGCCTCCGACATTGAAAGGGAAATGTCATCATCGGCCTTTCTTGCTGTGATGAAGGTTGCATTTTTGAAGCCTCTTTCCTTGTTTTGCCCCCTCTTTTTGAGGATCCAAGAACTAGCGAAGTTCGAAGGGGCTTGAGTCGCTTTCGGCGATCCGATCTCCTAACGTCCACGATTTCATCGGGAGGGGAGAGCAGTTCGATCGGCCGCTTGATTTTCGTGTGATGCCATGAAACATGGTCAATACTTGCTTGAAGCCCTTTTGTACCAAGAAGAAAAAGGAAGGCACTTCCTTTGATCTAATTATATATACCAGCACCATCAGCACCCTCCAACAGGTCACCACTTGCGACTTATAAGTCTGCAAAAGCCTCCAGAGGAGACCTGTTGGAGGGTGCATATATATATATATAGTATTATATAATATATATTATATGTAAATTACAATGGTACGTGTACATAGGGCCAGTGAAGGTTTTCAGTTTCAGTATTTTTTGGGGGGTGACAACCTGATCGCGCTTGCGAACGCTTACCCTTCAAACCGAGGATCTCAGTGAAGGAATGCAGCAAAGCTGGATGCACCCAGAAGGACTTGCATGTGACGATGGATGCCAACTGGCGCTGGATTCACACCGAGGCGCCCTCGCGCCGCGACTCGCCGCGATGGCGGTGGATGGTGGACCTGTATGGGAACAACCATGCCCTATAGGGATCCAGTCGTACCGTACCTCAGATACGGTGATTTGTTCGACAGTTTGGTACGGCTGGATCCCGTCTTGGCGGATTTCGGGCAGGTCTGATGCCTCGACCCAGAGAGTTTGACAATTCTAAGGCTTGACCCTTGAAGTTCACCCCTAAAAAACACATCCTCAAGCATGCTTCTTGAGAAGTGCATGGATCTATTGGGCAGTATATATGTGGGACGGGTCTTCCAGGAGAAAGTCTTCCTTTTGGTCCATCAGTCAGTCTGGTCGTGCCCCCTTAGCTTGGCGCCAATCCCAACGGAGCTCGCTACCTTAACCAGTGCTTTCGAAGACTCAATACCACCGTGTGCTGGTTCCGTGTCTTGTGGCAGTTTTTTGTGGGTAGGCAATATCAACATGTAGTGCCCTTTGGGTCCACTCTGGTTCGTTTTGTCTAGTGGAGCTGCAAGCAGCGCAAGCACCTGACCCGTCTGGGGCTGACCTCTCCTGTTTGGCTGACCGCTCAGCTGTGTCGAGCTCCAGGAGGGCTACCAGAACTGCTACAGTGGTGACTCCTGGGACACCACTGTTTGCACCGACCCAGAGGTTTGTGCCAAGAGCTGTGCCGTGGAGGGTCTCCTGCTGAAATCACGGGAGCGGCATTTGGAGGCAAAAGCTGAAATGGCTAAGCTCGACATATATAAGGTTGCAGATCACACAGGCCTTCAAGGAATCAAAGGTTGTGTTTTGCACCTGGGTACAACCTGGTTAGTGTAGTCTCAGTCTCAAATGTGATAGGCAGCCTTTTAAGGTTCAATGCTGTCTCTGAGTTTTAGTTGGCGTCCACAAGGAGAGGGTGACCTAAGTAATTAGAGTGACTCAAGTGGTAACTGGACTAGCTAACTGCTGGCTCTTCGGCACATGATAAAACAACGTAGCCTCTGAATGTTCTCCGTTCAATGTCACAAAACCCTTTCATTTTCGTATCTTCAGATTTCCTTTTATGTTCGCCCATGTCGGACAATGTGCGTTTACAAGCGTGGCAGCTTCAGAACTTGCGGCAAGCTTTTGTTCAGAATGCTACATCGCATCCTTTGGCACATGTTGAGCGATCAATACAGAAATTACAGGAGCTGATTGAAGTTTTGCGGCATGATTTGAACTTGGATGCCTTCAAGCGTCGAAAGTTGAGAAGCTCGCTGACTGTGCGACAATTTCAGTCTCGTTGCGCAAAGCTGCGGCACAAGTGCAAGAAGCTGCAAGCTGAAGTAGATTTGATTGAAGCTAGCCGGGCGAGTGCAGCATGTTTGGTGCATATAGGGCTGGACTGGCTCCACCCAATATCCCTCCGCAGTCCCTCAGTGAGTTGTGCAACGACTTTGTGGTTGAGGAAGGTAAGATTCTCTCCAGAACGTGCATCACCCATGCAAGGGATGCCTTCACAGAGAAAATCGAAAGAGGTAATGTTGCAGAGTTTACCTTTGAGGCTTCAACAGATTTGCAGAGTCAATCAGGAAGAACCACCGGCCATTGTTGTTTCTCATTTGCATGATGAAGCCTCCCTGAAGCTTCGCTCTTTTGACTTGGAGCTGGTGGGATGGACTCTGAGAGCGAGGTGCTCCAAGGTCCAGAACGAGGTTGTGCACGTGAAGTTTCCCAGTGGAAAGACTGTCGAGTATTTCGCGGAATTACAACCTTTGCTGAAAAAAGATTTTGATACTATAGCGCAGGCTATAGAAAACACTGCCAAGAACGTGATACTGTTATTGCTTGACCAGCCTGCGACAAAGCCTTCGCAACCTCTGAGATTGATTTACATCTTGACTGGGGATGGGATAAATACAAGTTTGACCTCAGCCAAGAAGATATTCTTGTTTTTTGCGCAAAATGCTTCCTTCCTTCCACGGCGCACGAGTTGATTTTGAACTGTGGTGTGTCCGGTGTGCATCGCACGTGGCTAACCTGGTGGTCTTAGTCGCATTAGTTGGCGGGAAACTCGTCTTTGTGCGCTTTCTTGTTGCGCAACTTTCGTGTGCTGGCCAACCCAAACGATTCCAACTTGCATGAGGCCAATCTACAGCACAAATCTTGGGGTCTGGAGTCTGCAGTGGGAGCATTCCTGTTTACAAGGAGCATTTGGTGCTTTCTTGCAGGAGAGACCGCAACCGACGCGGCTTTGGCACTTTGCAGCATGTGCTCGAGCATTCCTCCGCATGCGGATGATTGGGATTACTAAAGAGGTGCTGCAAGTTACAACAACCAGACCTTCCGCTGAGAACGCACATGGGTGCTCCAGTGAGCAGCGAGCAGCGTTGAGCAGTCAGCAGGTCTGATTCTTTAGTTCTTGTACCTTTAAGCTAAATTTTTAGAGGCTTTTTTGCGGTGAGTTTGTGACGCTGATTCTTTAGAGAGCAGCAGGTCAGCAGGTTGGCGCAGAGTGGGATCCCTAAAGGATAAAGATGTCCATTAAATGCATCCAGGTTGTCGAACTGTCACGCGTCGCGCGCCGCGCGTAAACCCCCAGCGAAACCTCCAAAGTGTGCTTTGATTTTTGTAAGCAATGCAAAAGGTATAAATTGCGATCCCGGCGCTCCACCCATGAAGAGGTCCGCGCCAAGGCCACGAAGCAAAAGGGTTTCTACAATGACAAGTTGGGCACAGTTGTCAATGCGCTCGCCAATGACAACTTCAAAGTGCTCTTGGAAGAGGGCGACAAGAAGGGTGAAAAGCGAAAGTGTGAAGTCCGCTTTCTCACCACAATTGTTCCCGACCCAGCTGCTGAGTTGCCTGAAGGCAGTGAGCTTGACGCGAAGCTCTCGGACTGTTGGGAGATGCAGATCACATTTCCGGCACAGACAGGTACAACCAGCTTTTCCAGCCAAAAAAGCAATGTGACATGACTGGTCGCTGATGCAGACTGATGGAATTCTCATGCAGGGTCAACACTCCCAGGTGCCTCAGTGTGAAGGCCATCTCTGGGAAGCACACCAAGCATGAGCTTCAGGAAGGGGTCCATGAGCACGCTAATAGGCACTAACGCACACTAATCCGCTAATACACATTGTGCTGCTTCCTTTAAGGCCAGTAGCAATTGCTACCCAATATAAAGCATAGTATACTAGCAATATTAGCCATGGTATATATATATATTATAGTATATACAGCTACTGTATATTATTTTTACTTCTACACTATATATAGTTGGGGTCCATGGGGGGACCCACAAGGGAGACAGCGATTAGAAACCCGTCAAGATTCAGAAACCCTTTAACCAGCAGATTTTTACTTGCCGGTTTAGATATATCAATAGTTCTCAAGATCAACACCGTTTGGTTCCTGGCTGATTCTCTTAACGCTACTAAGCGATGGTCAGCGAAAGTCAGCGATAAGCGTGGGTCAGCGATGAGCGATGGTCTTTCGTTTGGTTCAAGATCTGTTGTTTCGGGTTCTTTTGGAACCCGCCACCTCGACTTGCAGGCATATATCCAACACCCCATTTGCCAGTTCAACGATGCTTCTTGAAATCATCCTAGCCTGTTCACAACCTGTTTGGTATAATTCGGAAACAGGTCATCATGTTGGGGCGATGGATGTATCTACGCAACCGTGATGTTTCCTTATTTGGAGTGTATCCAACTCCACCGGCAGTCGACGTTTTGATCGATGTCTTGTCGACGAAGATCGGTGGAACTCATGGCTGTAAGGCTTGGATACATCCAAGTACGAGACCACCTACGGCGTGACGCAGATTGATGGTGGAGTCAAACTGGGCTTCGTCACCGGGTCCAACGTGGGCTCCAGGCTGGTGTCAAGACCTCGAGAGGTGCATGAAACATGTGGGAAGGTGATTCTCTTGAGGGTGTTGATTCACCGCCCTAAGGCTGTTGGTCCTAAGTGGTGACTTGTTAGGCACTCTTTTGTTCGCTTTTTGGGTGTTGGTTTGCCACCCTAAGTGGTGACCTATGGTGACCTTATGTCCCTAAAATTGTTCACTACCTCACTGGTTGTGGATGATGATCAGGTCTCACCACCTGCAAAAAAATACTTTGCTTCGAGTGATCCCCACCATGACATTTCAATCATTTGTCTTGATGCCATAGTGAGGAGCATGTTGCCATGGTCGTGAGTATTGTAGTTATCGATTTTGCTTGTGGGTCCTCGGGTTGTGTGCTGTGGTTGTGTGTTGTGGTTGCGTGCTGTGTTGTGGTTGCGCGCTGTGTTGTGGTTGTGGTTGTGTTTGCGATTGTGTGTTTGTGGCTGTGTGTTTGTGATTGTGGTTGTGGTACTGGTAGTGGTTGTGATATTGTATGTTTGTATATAGTTGCGTTTGCGGTTCTGTTGTGTCTTTGTGATTGTGTGTTTGTTGTTGTGATTGCGGTTGTGGTTGTGTCTTTGTGAA